ATATTTGTACTATCTATGTTGAATTTTTCAATCTTACCGAAGAACAGAAATTTTGTTTTAATGTCAAATTATGAAGTTGTTAGTAGGGTTGCCAAAACCTTATTCCTTATTCTATCCATAAGGCGATGGTTGCTGTATAGCAGTTAAATTGTGTATAGACATACATTTTTTAATTTTTCTTTTTAGCACAAACGTTTTTCTATGACTTTTAGTAGCTTGTATATATTTTAGATTTAGTCTCTCATAATTCCATAAGGAATGGTGCATGTGCTTTTACTGATCATTTGTTATTTTGTCTATTTTTTATGATGTACATTCAGTGAGACGTTAATAAATTATCTGTCTGTCTGTGTTATTCTCCAATTCAACTAGGGGCGGTGGGGTATCCTAGTGGCTAAAGCGTTCGCTCGTCATGCCGAAGACCCGGCTGGCGCGTAGCAAGCCAATTATTAAGTGTACGCCCGATAGGTTGCAAAGCTTTATATTTAGATAGCATTTGAGGTATTTTTGTCAAGAATTAGAAATTTTATTTTTTTTAGCAAAAATCATGTGTAAGCCCGAGCCTTTTTTTTTAATAATGGTAGCTACGCCCCTGTCCGGGTTCGACTCCCCACATGGGTACAATGTGTGAACGCCATTTCTGGTGTCCCTCGCCGCTGGAATATTGCTAAAAGCTGCATAAAACAATACTCACTCACACACTCCAATTCAACGAGGAACCAGATGAAAACCGCAGTGGTTTGCAGTCGCTAATTGGAATTCCCTATCTGCTTCCAACTGTATGTATTACACAAAGAATAAAAGGCTAATGTTCGGTCGACAAGACAAGTAATTTCTTCAAGGTCCGAGCGGAGTTATCTCCGCAACTAAATCGCAAGACTATTAACATGCGTTTAATAGGGTCAACGAGTTTCAAAGGCGCCTGAAAATATACGATACGTTTATAAACATATCCTTGTCTTCTGGTCGTGTAATTGGACCTAAACTCGACGCATCTACTCGTCTCAAGTCAATCAGCTTGGCACCAATACACGTGATTAGATCGCAAGAACAAACCAGACTTCGAAACAAGTGGAGAAATTATGTGATTAAAAACGTCATCGTTGTCAGATATCTGCTGAGATACGGGTGTTTTTGTAACCAATGTGAAGTTCATTTGTTCCGCCGTGATCCTAGTTAAACATCTCTGCTACTGTTTCACGGCAAAAACTTGCCTGAGATTAAACGGGAAATGTCGGTGGCTTTTTTAGACAACGATGATGTCAGCTCGACACGAGCAGTTATCACAGTAACGCGTGGGAGTAAATGAAACTCTCATTAGGCTTAGATGACAGAGTGAATTTTGTGCAATGTGAACAGTATATCAGTTACATAACGGAGCGTTATCTTAATGAGTGAGTGAGTATGGTTTTTCGCCGCTTTTAGCAATATTCCAGCAATATCACATCTTCTTTCTTACCAAGCAGAAAATTTCCACTTACTAAAAAACATCATTCCATCAATATTGTTTACTTTGTCACCTAAGTTCACCCATCTAAATATGAGTGAGTGAGTTTGGTTTTAAGTCGCTCTGGGCAATATAATGCAATATCACGGCTGGGGACACCAGGAATGGGCTTCACACATTGGACCCATGTGGGGATTCGAACCCGGGTCTTCAGCGTGACAAGCGCTAGACTAGACTACCCCGCCGCCCCGTTATCTTGATGAGGGGGCGAAGGCTAGAAGGTATATAACTGGAATAATGTTCCAACTGGCGTCAAACCTAACTCACGCACTTTCGGCATGCCGCAATCTTAGTTCAATAGCGTATCGGAAAACGTTCCGAGAAAGTTATTCGCCACCACTCGCCTCTTTCCGTAACCTGCAAGCTGACACGTCTGTTATCGGTGAAAGTTATGTGGTCCGACAATTCACTTGGAATGCACGTGTGACTTCAAGTATTTTAGTCAAAGAATTCTTTAGGCATGTCTTTGTAATAGTTCACATGCCTTACATCTAAAAATAAGATATCACCACAAGGTGATCACGAATGTATCACGGCTTATCTCGGAATGACACGAACTGGTAACGAATTATTCGGTTTGTCCCGGAATAACACGGGTGGGTCACGAATGGAATGATTCGGTTTGTCCCGGAAAAACACGAGTGGATCACGAATGGAATGATTCAGCTTGTCCCGGAATAACACGGGTGGGTTAGATTCGGTTTGTCCCGGAATAACACGGGTCACGAATGGAATGATTCAGCTTGTCCCGGAATAACACGAGTGGGTCACGAATGGAATGATTCAGCTTTTGGGGGAATAACACGAGTGGGTCACGAATGGAATGATTCAGCTTGTTCCGGAATAACACGGGTGGGTCACGAATGGAATGATTCAGCTTGTTCCGGAATAACACGGGTGGGTCACGAATGGAATGATTCGGTTTGTCCCGGAATAACACGTGTGGGTCACGAATGGAATGATTCGCTTTGTACGGAATAACACAATTGGTCATGCATGTGAGACAGTCAAACTGTCGTGGACTTCCATCAAGGGTAGTGTAAACCAGTCCGACTCAAGGTCTCGAAAAGACTTACAATTCACTTCGCGTGTCTAAAATATCAACAACGAAGTCCCAACACATGAACACGAAGGTAACTGAATACAAGATCAACCATTTTATGAACAGTGTCACATAAAACTCCGATCGGCCGACCAAATATCCAAAATAATTTCGGAAACTATTTCATCAAACGCAATAAACTCGGTAAGATCTGGGTAAACCGGATCTTCAGTAACTCATGCTTGTCAAAGGAGGCGACTAACGGGATCGGGTGTTCAGACTCGCTGACTTGGTTGATACATGTCATCGTATCCCACTTGTGTAGGTCGATGCTCATGATGTTGATCACTGGAATGGCTGGTCAAGACTTGATTATTTACAGACCGCCGCCATATACCTTGAATACTGCTGAGTTCGGCGTTAAACAACCAACCAACCTTGCGAAAATGGCAACAAATTTTGGAGAAAACAAAGGCTCAGTACGGCTAAGCAGTGTCATCGTAAGTTCAGTATTTAAGCTATTTTAACTGAGACCAAATGACACATATTAACGCAGAATAGCTAAACAACAAATCAAATATATCATGGCTAGCGAGAGTGTTTCTCAAACATTTGGGTTCATTTTCTTCACAGTTTGCGCCATTTTCAACAAAAATCCGTACACTTTTTTCGAAAAATGGCTTGGGCCACACTTTTTATCACGCCATGATATTCCCATTCTGAAAAGAAACAGAATCCTTTCTACATAATATTGAGTCGGGTATGAAGAACTGACTTTGTCGAACCTTTGTGTATGTGTGCAGTCATCTAGACGCCCAGTGAAAGATATTTGTTTGTTCCATAATGCCACTATTACGTATAGTTTCAGAGATTGAGCGGTAGTCGAAGAACCAAGCTTTCCTTCCGTGTCAACGGGTAGTCATGTTTGGTGACTTGGCGCGCCAACGTGCCCTGCTGTGTGAATTGTTCTACACTACATCAATCTCTGGTTCGTGTGCTCCAGACAAGATGATCTAGACTACAGGCCGCCTCGTTTCAGGTCGAAAACTGCGCACAACACTCATTCTCGTATTACCCAAGTCGGGTTGCGAGAACAGGGTCTAAGGGAGACAACTCGTACATACTTCCGCGCTTCAATCAGTTCAAGCGTTCCATCAGACATTGGGGTGAGTGAGTGAGTTTGATTTTACGCCGCTTTTAGCAATACTCCAGCAACATCACGGCAGGGGGACACTAGAAATGGGCTTCACACATTGTACCCATGTGGGGAATCGAACCCGGGTCTTCGACGTGACGAGCGGACGCTTTAACCACTAGGCTACCCCACCGCCCCCCCGCAGGCATTAGAAAGAACGCAGGGTATAAAAGGGTAGGTCGAAATATCCACATAGGTTCTGACTGAGTGAGGGTGGAAGTGATGAACGCCACAGTATCAACGAGGGGGATTCAGAGGGGGTGCAGGGGTGCGTCCCCGCCATCCACCTTTTGTCCTGAACGTTTATTGAATGACCATTGAAACTCTCGTGAAAATGGAGTGTGCACCATCCACCGTTCTCAATAGTGTGCACTTTCTCTCTCACACACACACACCACACACCTTTCTAAAATAGCTGTATCCGCCCCTGGAGGAAACATTGTTTCCACGAGGAGGGTGGTACCAACAGCCCTTGTTTATTCTAAAGACGAACACTGGAAAAAAAAAGTCCACATTTACAAGCTTGGAAACGTCTTGGAAAGATGATGTTTTCAAGCCTTCCAATTTTGGAATGTGTGAATTGAGCCCCCCAAAACAGAGGCACCTGCAAATGACGTCCCAAATGCTGGTGATGTATTTTTGCACGTTGTATTGTCCATATGAAATCCATATCTTAAACTGTTGAAAGATGTTTCAGATCCTTGTCGGAACACTGAACGGGCTTTCTCATTACAGCTTGTGACTGAAAGGGCATACACTGATCCCTGAGTGTAATTGTGGTGGTGGTGGTGGTGGAATTGGGTTTTACTTCCTGCTTGAGAATATTTCGCTCATGACGACGTGCATGCGTGTGTATGTGTATGTGCGGCTGCTTGTACTAGCCCAGACTGAAGCTGGTTTTATAGTGCTAGCCCACTGAGATACCATGCCGCAGTGAAGCATGAATACCCCACTCAGACACATTATACTGACTCCAAGCCGACCAGTCCTTGTTGTACCCATTAATGCCGAGTGTTAGACAGGGACCAACAAGTACCATATTTTAACTTCTTTTGGTATGACGCGCCCAGGGATCGAACCCGCGACCTTCCGCTCTCTGGGCGGACGCTCTAACCACTCCACCACGGAGGCATTAATGAGAGATGGGAGTCCACTTCCAATACAAAGCTTCTGAAGCAAACGGTTCAGGATCTTTATTCAACCAGAATGGCAAGTATCAATGACAGGTTGAAAAACATAAAAACACAACACAAAACTTGGTTACACATTTATTTCAAATATCACTACAAGACACTGTAATCTCAAACAGGGCAAGAAACTACCCAAGCAATCAGCATCTCCCAAATCCAACCATTCCTTAGAGTGTATAAACTCAATATTGTTAAAGTACTTGAGTTAGGTCTAATGAAACCTTAGGAAATATTCTAGGAATATCAATACAGTGAACACGCCACACACACACAGTACCAATTTCAGAAGTTACCAAACAACAAAATACAGAACATTCTAACCATTCAGCTATCACACAGCCCACAATTGTTTGTGCAAGTACATAACAACAGACCTCTTAACTTGTATTTTCTTTCTTTGTTTACAGACACCGGAGCAAAATATTCGAATAAATATATATGATTTAAAATATCAAATTTTAAATACATTTTTTACTTCCTCAATATTAAGTAGTGGACGGGATTTTCAACACGTTTTAATTAGCATACTTTTCATATTTTTTTCATGCTGATGGCAACACTATTTAAGTTTGTTTTCATAACAGATTACTAACTTCTGTTTGGGAATAACTGCTTTTCACTTTTTAATACTTTTTTCACATTTAATTATTTTGAGTTGGATGGTTCATAAATTAAAACGTGCATTTCTTCGTACATTGTTTTTGTATATAAGACCAAAGCAGTCTAGTTTCGATGGTCGATGAAGATTTTACGTGCAGAGAAAAATGTCATGCTAGCTCGAAGCTTCGCAGATAAAAAATGATATGCTGAAACGTGTAAAATGTAAGCAAAACATTTTTATAACAAAATACTGCATAAAATCAAAGAGATCTTCATAGATACACATGTACATTATTCATGAGATTAGTTCCTTGGACCAAAGTTAGTTCCACTAGGGATTTGAACCCATGTGACCCCTACGGTGGAGAACAATTACAGGAACGTGGTTGCTATGGTAACAATAAGAAACAAGTGTTGCAGGGACTGGAAACGAGTGAGAAACGGTTGAAAAAGAAAACTGATGTCATATCACATCCTTTTGTCCACATCTATCACATCCTTTTGTTCCCATTTTCATGCTGCAGTTTTTGATCAAAATGAGTTTTGAAATTGGATGAAGAGGACAAATGTGGTCCAGCAGGAATCTGGAATAAGTACATAATACTCAAGAGAAATTAAAGAACGTTAAAATCATTTCTTTAAATGGCATAAAGAAGTGATACACATGAGGAAGAGGGTCTTTTATGGATGTCATCTGATGAAGTAGTAAGGATATACTCTGAAACATCGTGTTCCTCATAATAAAGAAGTTGACATCCATAAAAGACTCTCTTCCTTATGTCCAAATAATTCATTTCACTCAGTTAATCAGTCACTGTCATATGAAAAATCTGGTATTCTTAAACATTTGAGTATGTCAAACATTTCTTCTACGTTTGTTCCCAGTCCTAACAACATATTAACTTTTATATATATATGTATATTCCAAGTACTTATATTCCGTTCCGGAACTGTCACGGACTAGGACCACAATATCTCACATTCTGTACAATTACATTCATACACCATAAGTGCAAAATAATGAAGTGCTCAAAAGCTGCCTGTGAAAAAGGAAAAGTCTGATAATACAATATGGAGGAAAAAGGAAACACTCCGAAAAAATACTGCGAGATTCATCAGTTGTTGCTATAGAGAACAAAAACTGTTACCATGGTTACATAGTCATATGTCAAGGTCAGTATTTTTGTCCAATGTCGGTTTTTTTTCTTGTTTGTATTCTGAACAAATTGAAGTTAAAATTGTCAAAAGAGACATAATATTAAATGCAGCATATATATTCATACATTAGACAGTAAATTCTTGCTGGTTTGATGTTTACAGTACCACACTGATTTTGATAATATCTTTGTCATCCATGTGTAAGAACATCCTGACAATTAATTACTCATAATTATATCTATTTTCAGATTTTTTCTGAAACCAAAATGTAAACTGTATACGGGTAGGTATTTCCTCCAGGAAGAGACTAATACCTCAGTACTGAGGTGTTACATTTGCTATCAATCCATGTTAGAAACTGTTTATTGTAACTGATATTGGACTGTCCTATATGAATGCCAGTCATATATCTTAGTTACAGAGATATGTTTTTGTTACAGGAGATATGCCTTTGTTACCAGCGATATGATTTTGTTACCAGCGATATGCCTTTGTTACCAGAGATATGCTTTTGTTAAAAGCTTTATTCCTTAGTTACCAGAGATATGCTGTTGTTACCAGCAATATGTATTTGTTACCAGTGATATGCTTTTGTTACCAGTGATACGATTTTGTTACCAGAGATAGGCTTTTGCTACCAGCGATATGCCTTTGTTACCAGATATATGCCTTTGTTACCAGAAATATGCCTTTGTTATCAGCAAGATGCACTTGTTACCAGAAATATGCCTTTGATACCAGAAATATGCCTTTGTTACCAGAAATATGCCTTTGTTACCAGCAATATTCCTTTGTTACCAGAAATATGCCTTTGTTACCAGCAATATGCCTTTGTTACCAGAAATATGCCTTTGTTACCAAAAATATGCCTTTGTTACCAGCAATATGCCTTTGTTACCAGCAAGATGCACTTGTTAACAGTAAGCTCCAGTTATTGGCATCTCTGACCAGATAATCATCAGAGAAAAAATATGATATATATAAAAATGTTGTAATCATTCATATGGCTTAAAACAATACTTATACTAATACTAATAAGCTGGGATATAACAAACAAAGAACAGAATAACCTGAGATAGAATTATGAAGAACAAAGCGATGGCCACATGTTATCTAGGGAAGTAACTCTTCAAATATTTCATTCTCGATAGCTAAGTACCAGAACATACACTGCAATATATTGATCAGCTGATTTGAAAAAAGCCACAAAGCAACATTATAATAGTTAAAATCACACACTCTTCCATCACCATGGTAACTAATACTGAATTTTCACAGCAGATATCAGACAGGTTCATTCAAGTTGTATATATCACATTTTGTTCAGTACCGTAACTGCATTAAAAAATATACTGAGAAAAAAAAATAAGGGAACACCACATCATGGCAGTGTTCCTTTATTTATTCTCAGATTTCCTTCCACAGCGTTATTCGAAGTTGTGATGAAAACTGGAAAATATTAAAGGAACGCTTGAATTTTCCTGTTCCTTTATTTTTTTCTCTTAGTATATATCTCTTTTGGCAAATAACACATTAAGTCATATTAATATTAAAATTAGGATACAGTGACAGAAGGTACCAGAAATTGTCTGACAATAATATTGTCCTGTTGTATGTGTTTATACTGTGATCGACAACCATGTGAAACAGGAAGAAGCAAGTCAACGCTAGCTGATTACATGTGTGCTTTGGACAGTATTCCAGTTACACCAGCTCATGTCAGGCAGATGTGGGAGAAGATTTGGAGTTATGCAGGTCCTAAACATTTACCATTTGCTAACAAACCTAGAAACAATGGGAGCCAACCGGGATCTGAAGCCACGACAACAGGGTCCCGTTTCCCAAAGCTATTGTAGCGCTACGACTGTCGTAAATCTATGTTACAGTATAGGGGTTACGACAGTCCTAGCACTGCGAATAGCTTTGTGAAACAGTGCCCAGGTCTCTGCTGGCCCAAGGGAAGCAACTCTCAGTAAACTGCGGCACCTTAGACATCAAGGCCACCTGCACCTTTCACGAATCTATAATCTCAAAGGTGTTACATTTGGCTGAAGATGTCGCTGAATTTTTCAGACAACACAAATGGCAAAAAAACATCCATATTATGACTAGACTAATTAAGTAACATTTTGATTTGTTGACATAAAAACCACATCCTGTGGAAGGGCTCAAAGACTAATCTCTGTCATTTACATCTAGGCAACTGTCCTAAGTGTTTTAGGTCTCAGGGCTGAAAGTACAAAACAACAGGAGGGATACACATATATACTGACCACCAAAAATAAGGGAACATTTCCCAGGATCTGGATGGAAGGATGTCAGAGTCTGCCTTCTGGCACTTCATCAATTTTACAGTCTCGGATGCACAAGGAAGCTGAGAACAGAATTTGATTGGATACTGATCCATTGACATCTAAATGTAATCGAGGGTGGAATCGGTCCATTATTATCAGAATCATTAAAACTTCTTCATCTAATCAGGGAACAGTCAACAAGAATTATCCTTCACGGAGGTCATGCTTATTAATAATTCAGATATGTTAATTTGGATAAGATGACCTTCTATAAACAGGATTTGTGAAGTATGTTGTTCCCTTATTTCTGGTGAGCAGTATAGGCAATACATTGGAAGATCAGTCAATGCATGGCAGGCCATCCATGCACACTGGCTGTGATGGTCTGGGTCCCGATTCCCAAAAGTCTTCGTAAAGTTACAACTGGTCATAACTCTTTAGTTTACCATAAGGGACTGTTCATTATTATTATTATTATTTGTGTGTGTGTAGTGCGTGCGTGCGTGCGTGCGTGCGCATGTGTGTGTGTGTTGGGATGATGATTTTAAGGGGGGTCACCCATTTTGTTCTGGGGATGTAGGGGGGTTATCAAATATGTGCACATTAACTAGGGGGGGCAGCAATTTTGTACAAAAGAATATTAAAAAAATTTGGGAACAGGGAAGGGTGGTCATTGATTTTGTACATGACATGCAGGGGTGGTGTGTGACTTACTTTGTACATAAATTTCAGGTGAGTCACTCACATTGTACATGCTTCTCAATAAAAATCATCATCACCCCCTAGCCATATATTATGAACGATCCCTAAGCTTACGAATGTCCTAGTGCTACAAACGTTTAGTGGATCGGGACCTAGGTCAGATTAACAGCCAGTGGTTGTTGGTTGGTCATTCAAAAACATGTCTAGAGTCTGTCATGGACAACGGAATATGCTCGTGATATGAGAACCGAATATTGAAACTGAATACATGCATAGAATACTAAGAACGCGTACATCGTTATGGCAACCTAACGGGATAACTGGAACTAAGGTAATGTCAACAACAACGGAGATTCAGCAACCAATATATTGATATGATAATCTTCAATGGCACTCGGTTTAAAACAAAATAAAACAACGTGACGAGAGACAGATGTCTGTATGTTACTGTGGGGAGCACGTGATGAAGCCGGGATGCAGTTACAGCCATCAAGTACAGATGTTACAGGTCATGGGAGTGTTACAGTGTAACAGATGACATGGCAGTGTAACATTACCCACAACGGATGTTACAGGTAATGGCAGTGTTCCAACATAACATCACCCTATGGCATAGAACAGATGTTACAGGTAATGACTTTATTACAACGTAACATCACCCTATGGCATAGAACAGATGTTACAGGTAATGACTTTATTACAACCTAACATCACCCTATGGCATAGAACAGATGTTACAGGTAATGACTGTATTACAACCTAACATCACCCTATGGCATAGAACAGATGTTACAGGTAATGACTGTATTACAACCTAACATCACCCTATGGTATAGAACAGATGTTACAGGTAATGACTGTATTACATGTTACGTAACATCAACCTAACATCACCCTATGGCATAGAACAGATGTTACAGGTAATGACTTTATTACAACCTAACATCACCCTATGGCATAGAACAGATGTTACAGGTAATGACTTTATATTACAACCTAACATCACCCTATGGCATAGAACAGATGTTACAGGTAATGACTGTATTACAACCCAACATCACTTAACATCACTCCTATGGCATAGAACAGATGTTACAGGTAATGACTGTATTACAACCTAACATCACCCTATGGCATAGAACAGATGTTACAGGTAATGACTGTATTACAACCTAACATCACCCTATGGTATAGAACAGATGTTACAGGTAATGACTGTATTACAACGTAACATCACCCTATGGTATAGAACAGATGTTACAGGTAATGACTGTATTACAACCTAACATCACCCTATGGCATAGAACAGATGTTACAGGTAATGACTGTATTACAACGTAACATCACCCTATGGCATAGAACAGATGTTACGGTTCATATTGTCACGGCATCAATCCCTCACCTCCAACAGATGCTGCAGAAAAGATGTCCCAGCCTGTAACCACTGTGACATGTTACAACACTGCTGAGTGATTGGGGATTCACACCACTTGAAGATTCACAGGCCTAGATTTTGAAGCTATCTTACCGTTAAGATAGTCGTAAGTGCCATAAATTGACATTAACTTACGACTATCTTAGTGCTAAGAGAACTTCGAAAATCTAAGGCCATGGCCTCATTCGTCGATCTTGAGTCCCTTTCTGCATCATACTTGCATCAAGATGGCCCCGCAATACCCTTGGTCCAAAGTGCACCACATCAAAACTAAATAATAACACTCATCAATAAAAGAAACCACAGCTGCTATGGAAACAAAAACAAGTCAAAATAGTCTCTGGCAACCAAAAATACAGACGCAAAATAGTTGCTATGGAAACAAAATAAAATCAATCCCAACTATATACACACCTGTTCCATTTTGTACAAATATTACACGGAGTATCACCCTCAGTCATGAAACGCGTAGAGATTCTATCAAGTAAAACACACATAAAAATATAAAAGATCAATATTTCCGGTCAATGTAGAGTTTGTACTCTGCAAGGAGCACATTAAATTGTCTCTAAACAACATTTGATTACCGTAATTGACCTAAATAGCACCCCACCTTGTATACTTACACCAATATCCAATGCTAAATAGATGGATCACATATTTGAGATTCGTTCAACCGAGACATTTGAGGTCATCCCTGATGACACATGTCAACCATTTGATCAATAACGGTATTATCAGCCAACACAGGCATGAAATGTATACTTAAAATATATTAAAATTTGAACATCTATACATATATGAAGGAATGGGTTCCATTTTTGAGTGCAAGAACCTTCATGAATATTGAAATTAAGACATTCAGTGTTGACCAAAACTGAGACAATTGTCAACTAGTGGCATTTGTTCTCTATGTATAACAGTGTCTCTAACAGTGACAATATCAAGAGACTGTGTACAGAGGGGAGATCACTCCGATTTGCAAAGTGAAAAGGGAGACAACTCAGGCCTTCATTCCCATTTTCTCATCTTCCTCAACATCATCCACATCCAGCATCCACTCATGAGGTTTGCGGCCCAACTGAAACAGATACAATCCTTATCAATTGCTGACCTTAATCTTGAATCTAACATCAATCTAGAAAAAGAAATTCACTGTAAGGGACAATATCATAACATCAATTGTGATGATGATGATGATGATGATTTTGTGGGGCACCGTTCTGGCAATTTTGTTAATTTTCGCATTAGGGGGTCATCAATTTTGTACATAAAAATATGCTTAAAACTATGCTTAGAAATTGGGGGTGTGTGTGTGTGTGTGTGTGTGTGTGTGTGTGTGTGTGTGTGTTTGTCATTGATTTTTGTACATGACATGCAGGTGGGGGTCACTTATTTTGTACATAAATATATTTTTTGGGGGTCATTCACATTGTACAAGCTTCTCCATAAAAATCATCATCACCCCCCCTAGCCATAAATTATGAACGGTCCCTAACCATTTGAATCAAATAATCGATTTTCACTAAAATACAAAACATGAATTCACTGAACAGAAATTTAAAATCAACAAAATTCTGATGCATTAGTCATCAATGACAAGGAAATATAGTTGAAATAACATCTTCATCTCATATGCAGTAGGTGCCTGTGGCTGAATATGTCTACAGCACCCAATTACTGGTCTCAAGAAGCAACTGACTGAGCAGCCCTTGAGCAACAAGGTTGGAATTGGTCTTCAGCTACAAGCTTGTCATAAGAGGGGACTAACAGGATCAGGTGTAGACTAACGTTTAGTCCCAGGGTGTCCCAAATAAACCCATTTAAATGGAAAAGGAACCCCAGTGAGTTGGGGAAATCTAGACATGCTTCATTTAGGGCTCAAGCATTGCAGGGAGGGCAAGGCAGTAGGGAAAATAATGTGGTTCAGGGACTGTGAGACAGACTAGCTTTAGCACTGCAGGGAGGGCAAGGCAGTAGGGAAAATAACATGGTTCAGGGACTGTGAGACAGACTAGCTTTAGCACTGCAGGGAGGGCTAGGCAGTAGGGAAAATAACATGGTTCAGGGACTGTGAGACAGACTAGCTTTAGCACTGCAGGGAGGGCAAGGCAGTAGGGAAAATAACATGGTTCAGGGACTGTGAGACAGACTAGGTTTAGCACTGCAGGGAGGGCAAGGCAGTAGGGAAAATAACATGGTTCAGGGACTGTGAGACAGACTAGCTTTAGCACTGCAGGGAGGGCTAGGCAGTAGGGAAAATAATGTGGTTCAGGGACTGTGAGACAGACTAGCTTTAGCACTGCAGGGAGGGCAAGGCAGTAGGGAAAATAACATGGTTCAGGGACTGTGAGAGACTAGATCAGGTGGTCGGGTTCACAGACTTGGTTGATGCTATCCTATCCCAACTGTATTGATGGGTGCCGATGATTTCAGTCACCAGACTCAACTAAAACTATTTCTTGTAGCAGTAATAATGCATCATATGCTGCAGTTACAATAGTTGTTATTTACAATGTATGTCTAAGGAAATAAATAATCATATGTCTGAAGAAATACATACTTTTATGTGTTGCATTTGGGTATACTTGCAGTAAATATTTTCAAATGCAATATTTTCAGGTAAATTGTTTGAAAGATGGCAGGTGTGGAAACAACTGAAAACTTATCTTAAGACTCATTTTCTTTGTGAATGATCTACACACAAATCTTCAAAGGTGGGTTCAGGATTTGACTATTGACCATGGAAAAAATTATATTTGCGAAGAATTATTCTCTGGTCCTAGGGATCTCTTACCTGGATATCGGTGAGTACGGACATGAACCTGTTGGTGAGTTTAGCCTCCTTCATGGTCGGGATCTCCAGCACCTGGTTGTTGTACAGGATCTTATCCACTGGGCACACTGTGCTTGCCGTGCCTGCACCGAATATCTCCTTCACCTGTCACAGGTAAACACTGTTATAATCACATATCACTTGTCTCCGTACCTATCTTGACCCTCTCATCACCTTTCAAGACAATCATGCTTTCCTCAGACTAATGAGAATGGCCTAATCTTCTAAGACTGATCTTACAGTTAGCATTCCTTGGACCTACCGTATATGACTGACTGCCTATACGCCGCTTTTAGCAATATTTGAGGACCAGAAAAGCTTCAGTCTGTACCCATGTGGGGTCGAACCCAGGTATCCATGGGTTACGCTTTAACCAAACTTTTTTCCAGGGTAAGAGGACCAAAAAAAGCAACATCTTATCCATGGAGTTCGATCAAACTATTTTCCAGGGTAAGAAAAAATCTGTAATCGCCAGCGTGAACAAACAACAGAAGACAACTTTGTCAGTAGAGACGCCAAATTTGCAATTAAACATCACTAGACAAGATTATTTACCTTTTAAGTTATAAGTTGTTTTACTGGGCATTGTATTATTTGCAGGGATTAAGATTACGTGTGTATCTGAGCCGGAAATAGCAATCAGCTGTGCACACGTTTCCGCTTAACAAGTTCAAACATGCACAATAATAATATAGCGGGATCAATTCTGGACGAGTCATCAGTAAAATATAATACAGAATACTATTATTTAACCCAAAGAAATATATCCTAGCATTGTGTAATTTTAGTTACAGTTTTATATAAAATATATATAATTAAGATTAAGGTGTATACTGGGTTATCTCGCATGAACGTGGTAAGCAGAAGTTTAATGCGCATTACATGGAATGGGGTAAAACACGGAAGCCATTTAAATTCACACATTTTACCGATGTTACTGTAAACTAGCAGTCAATGGAAAACGAGGTGGTAATCAGTTAAGTGATTGTTGAATGGGGTAAAATAAGCAAGCCAGTTTTTGCTACAATAAAATGATATTTAGAGAAGCAAAATATATTATGCATTTTCTGTCAACTACACTTCGTTTCGATCCGTGAGTAGACACAATATATATGACTGTGAATTCTTTGAATAATGTGGACCAAAGTTATAATTATTGGTAACTGCCAGTTGTCTGTGGTCTGTGTTTGCCGCGATTAGGACCCCATCGCGGGGGATTGACTTATGCACGAAACATACCATTTTGACACTGATTTTAAGGGTCAAGTTTGGGGGTCGTCTTATCCATGGGGTCGTCTTATAGACGGTCATATACAGTATCTTATGACTGCCTTTCCTGAGATTCATCTTACAACAGTCCTGCTTTCCCCAGACAAAAGTAACTTACAAAACAGGGATGACCTGCTTTCCTTGGACTGTTGTCCATTAAAACAAAGGGTATCCCCTTTACCTGAGATCTATATTACAAAACAGGGGTGTCGTGCTTTCCTTGGACTGTTGTCCATTAAAACAAAGGGTATCCCCCTTACCTGAGATCTATATTACAAAACAGGGGTGTCCTGCTTTCCTTGGACTGTTGTCCATTAAAACAAAGGGTATCCCCCTTACCTGAGATCTATATTACAAAACAGGGGTGTCGCTCTTTCCTTGGATTGTTGTCCATTAAAAACAAAGCTGAGAAAAACTACCTCTTAGAGTTTGTTAACTAATATACTTTTTATGTTAAGATATAAAAAACATAGTACTGAGCTTAAGATATGATTAAACTTAAGTGTCATATGATGAACTTAAGCTAATTATATAATAGCAAAACCCTGTAGAGTTTTAGAGTTTGTTAGCTAGAATACTTATATGATATAAACCTAGTATTTCCTTTAGAGTTTTGTTAGCTAATATACTTATATATGATATAAACATAGACTGTTGTCCAAATATATAATAGCAAAAACTCTTTTTAGAGTTTGATAGCTAATATACCTATATTAAAACAGGATAATGTAACCATAATGCTTAAGATATGATGGACATTGGAATCATGCCTTAAGTTAGTGCCAAAAACTCTGTATGTTTGTATATGATTAAAAGAATCTGTAGAGTTGTTAACTTATATATTGTATGATGTAATAATCATAGTACGAACTTTTGTTGGTGATGGCTTCTGTAAGATTGACTTGTTTGTTGGTGATGGCTTCATACTCCCTGGACAAATGATATGATCCAGCTGTTGATCATGCTCACTAACTAGCTCTCCCAACCTCCCCCTCTCTCTCTGACTGACTCACTCACTCACTCAACTTACCCTTCCTTCTTGGAGGGCCTTCAGCAACTGCTTCATGTTGTATCTATCCTCTGTCACCTTGAACTCTCCCTGCAAGAGAATGTGGCTTGTCATCAGATGGACAGGTCCCTGTAGGAAATCATCTTGTCTTCATGTTAAAACTACCCAACTCATATACTGGTACTTAACAGATTCACATACTAGTTCGGCGTTTGTTAAATAATCTCATGAAATTCATAACTAAGGAACGTCCAAAGTACCAATACAAGCGGGTGTATGTAGGGTCAGAAGCTTCTCTTGCTTCAGGCAACATTTTGTCCTTGAACAGATTGAACAAAGTGTAATCCCCACTTTCACTTCACTTTCCAAATGATTATGTTAACTTTAATGTCTGATGTTATTAATGAATAGCAGCAACATCTGAGAAATACAAATGGCAGATTTCAGCCTACTTACATGGAGACAGCGACCACCACCCATCATTCAGCCACAACACCTGTCATATCACTTTCCAACCGTCCTGACTCACCCACCCGTCCTGACTCACCCACCAAGCCACCAGTCACACTCTTATCCTGTCACTCACTTAGTGGTAATCCCCTCACTCACTCACTCACCCAGCCACCAGGCACACTCTTATCCTGTCACTCACTTAGCGGTAATCCCCTCACTCACTCACTCACTCACCCAGCCACACTCTTATCCTGTCACTCACTTAGCGGTAATCCCCTCACTCACTCACCCAGCCACACACTTATCCTGTCACTCACTTAGTGGTAATCCCATCACTCACTCACCCACCCATCACTCACACACTTATCCTGTCACTCACTTAGTGCTCATCCCCTCACTCACCTACCTAGCCACCACTCACACACTTACCCTGTCACTCACTTAGTGGTAATCCCCTCACTCACTCACCCACCACTCACACAATTATCCTGTCACTCACTTAGTGGTAATCCCCTCACTCACTCACCCACCACTCACACAATTATCCTGTCACTCACGTAGTGGTAATCCCCTCACTCACTCACTCATCCACCCAGCCACACACTTATCCTGTCACTCACTTACTGGTAATCCCATCACTCACTCACCCACCCACCACTCACACACTTATCCTGTCACTCACACAGTGGTAATCCCCTCACTCACCTACCCAGCCACCACTCACACACTTACCCTGTCACTCACTTAGTGGTAATCCCCTAACTCACTCGCCCACCACTCACAAAATTATCCTGTCACTCACTTAGTGGTAATCCCCTCACTCACTCACCCACCCAGCCACACACTTATCCTGTCACTCACTTAGTGGTAATCCCCTCGCTCACTCACACACCCAGTCACACACTTATCCTGTCACTCACTTAGTGGTAATCCCCTCACTCACCCACCACTCACACACTTATCCTGTCACTCACTTAGTGGTAATCCTCTCACTCACCCACCCAGCCACACACTTATCCTGTCCACTCACCCACTTATCCTGTCACTCACACAGTGGTAATCCCCTCACTCACTCACTCACCCACCTATCCATCCACTTCACTCCTCACTCACCCACTCACCCACCTATCCATCCCTCCCTCACCCACTGTCATCCATCCCTCACTCACCCACCTATCCATCCCTCACTCACCTTCCATCCCCTCAATCACCCTCATCAATTCCCTGACTCAACCACTCACTCAGCCATCAGTCACCCACTTATCCTGTCAATCACCCGTCCATCCCCCACCCATCCCCTCACTCACCCACTCTCTGGCCAGATCCAGGAGACTCATGCCAGTGGCGGCCGGCAGGATGAGGCCGTCCAAGGGAGCAGTGATCAGCTCATCCTCTGTTGAACACAAAATTCCACATTAAACCCCTGAAAGCGATCACCTAGACCATGTAGACCATTACACTGCTCCCACACTGCCCTGTGTATAGGTACATGCCGCGCCAGGCATGAAGACAAATTAAGAAAACAAGGGTCTTGTAAGCTACAAATCTGAGATTCAAACTCGCACATCCTGACAAAACTACGCGATGCAGCTGCTGACAGCTCACCTCCCTTCTCGTTGATCCAGTACATGAAGAGATTCATGGTGCCAACCTCTGTCAGTTGGTGGTCAGGTCCAAACAGCCAGAGCACCTGCTGGGCGTTGTTCTCCTTCAGTGCCTTGTCCTGGATGGCAATGGTTGGACCGTAGTTCCTGAAATATACCAATGTCATAGAAGAAATGGTCTTTGTGCTCCAGTGAGTGAGTAGGTTATTACACAACTTTAAGCAATATTCCATCATCGTGACTTCACACTTAAGCTATATCAGGAGGTGAGGTGAAGTGAAATTGGGTTTAACGTTGTGCTTGAGAATATTTCGCTCATATGACGACGTGCATGCGTGTGTATGTGTATGTGCGGCTGCTTGTACGAGCCCAGACTGAAGCTGGTTTTATAGTGCTAGCCCACTGAGATACCATGTCGCAGTGAAACATGAATACCCCACTCGGACACATTATACTGACTCCGAGCCGACCAGTCCTTGTTGTACCCATTAATGCCGAGCGCCAGGCAGGGACCAACAAGTACCATATTTTAGCGTCTTTTGGTACGAGTCTTTTTGATGCGGTCGGTGATTGAACCCGCGACCTTCCGCTCTCCGGGCGGACGCTCTAACCACCACACCACGGAGGCGGTCCAGCTATACCAGGAACTGGACCCTGATCCTCAGCTTGATGCCAACACTTAAACCACTGGACTATCCCACCACCCCTTGTAGTAAAGACATTACCTGTATACACAACTCTAAATAAAACAAATCTCTTATACTGCTGGGGATATCACACTTACACAACGCAAGCTGCAAAATTCACCTGAGCACAATCTCTACTGTTTCATATGTCACATCCTCAAGTTGGAATTGTGCACTGATACTTATCTTTGTATGTATGCTATTTTAAGCCGCACTCAGCAATACTCCAGCTAATCAGACGATCCAGTGATTGACATCATAAGCATTGATCTGCGCAAGTGGATTATGGTGGCATGTGTCAACCAAGTCAGCGAGCCTGACCATCCGACTCTGCCAGTCACATTTTACGAAATGCATGGGTTGCTCGACAAAAATTCTAACCCAAAGACATTATGTATGACACTAAAGAAGAGACTCACGATCCCATCTTGTACTCTCCACAGCTGCCGGGCCAGGCTCGAACATACTGGGGGTCCGCGAAGGAGTGTGATGGGCTTGAGGCCAGTGGGGAAGTAGGGTCCAACAGGGCCCAGCAGAACGTACAGGAGAGCCGTGTTGCTTACAGTCACACCCAGCGTCGGCTGAAACAACAAGGACAAGTTACAGATTGGGTACAGTTGGGGTACAGATTGGGGCTGATTGAAACAAGGACAAGTTACAGATTGGGTACAGTTGGGGTACAGATTGGGTACAGTTGGGGTACAGATTGGGTACAGTTGGCGTACAGATTGGGTACAGTTGGGGTACAGATTGGGGTCCTGATTGGGTACAGTTGGGGTACAGATTGGGTACAGTTGGGGTACAGATTGGGGTCCTGATTGGGTACAGTTGAAGTGTATCATAGAACAGCTGCAGTCACCCACTGGACAAACAGTCCACATTTCAGACAGAGAGATCAGCTTCCTGGGGCAAGGGAGCTAACTGACTACAAAAGTCCAGTCTCCACCCTTACCCTGAAATAGGCTGGATTTTCATGGCTGGATCTAGTGAGTGAGTTCAGTTTTACGCCGCTTTTAGCAATATTCCAGCAATATCATGGCGGTGGTCACCAGAAATGGGCTTCACACATTGTACCCATGTGGGGAATCGAACCCAGGTCTTTGGTGTGACAAGTGAATGCTTTAACCACTAGGCTACCCCAGCAACCCCTCAAACAAGAGCAAAACCATTTGGAAAACCTTTCTTTAAATTGGTTCTTTCCTTTGGAAAACAATGACATTAACCTTTGATCTCAAGAAGACTATCAGTGTATAAAATCCACCTAAAACTCACCAATCTACCTTAGTTTGTGCTTAGAGAAAACTGCCAGTCAAAATTAACGCTAACCAAGGCTCACTTTTCATTTCTGATTCAAGACAACAAAATATTATATTTCCTAATCCTGTTAGCAAAAACCTAGGATACAGATATTTCTAAAACTCAATGTTGAAAAACTCAAATGCAAATATTTTCTCAGCATTGATACAATAAATTAACCAAACATTGGTTTAGAATTGGTCTCCTGAATCAAAATTGTATCATCACCAACAAATGAAAACATATTATCTCTGAAGAATAAATCCAACAGCACCTTATGAGAAGGCATCACTTCAGGTTGAGTTGTCTCCCCTGGACCATCGAGGACCAGACACGGACATGGGTCTGTCATGTTTACAAGACTTTACTTCTGGTTGTCCGATGAAAAACACCAATAATGCTACATCCATATGAATATCCATCAATCTCATAAAAATGTGGAATTTTCACCAAATGAAAGACATATATTTTTTCTGATATTGTTCATACTATTGAGAAAGTAGAGAGTCTTTCCCCCCAAGAATACAAATCACTGGCTAACAGAATGTACATGTGAGTAACTGAACAACTGCTGATAAATCTACGAGTCTTTGTTTTTTCTCCTGGGTGCCAAGAATCAGGCTGGGTAATAACAAGTAGCCTCTATTAACATTTTTGGGATGACATGGGCAGGATCAAATGCCATCCTGCTCACCAGGCAGACACTCTATCCACAAGACCATGTGCTCAGTCCTCAAGTGTTAATAATTGTCAAATAGAGTTCATTGGAGTGAGTGAACGAGAGTAGTTTTACCCGCTTTTAGAAATACAAATGTATTCATTGTGGGGCAGGACCAAAGTCCTAGCAACTCGCAGGAGTCAAGCTGCCAAACACAGTCACCCATCCAAGGACTCTCCGCACCCAGCATTGCTTAACTTGAACTGATTTGTGACCTGAGCTCTGCACAGGACCACACAGCACCACATACAATATAGACATAGAAACATTGAGGCAGGAGTCAGGACACAGAACGAATCACTAAATATATCGCCATACAAACAGTTAACACTCTCACCCTTATGGAGGAGAGACAAGCCATGACGTTCTTATCTTAAGTCCATTAATGACAAAGCGTTTTCATTTTCAGTGTTTCACGAATCATAAAATGCATATAATTCAACCAGGATGCTTGTTTTTCAAAAAGAATAACTTCTATTCATCAATCCACCGAATGATGCAGCATATTTACTAATGCAGCCTGTATTTGCATCTTCCTACATGCACCGCTGCCTCCTATTGTGACCACAGTCACCACTTTGTTATCAGATGCAAGGCAACTCCCATCATTGTCCTCAAAGCACACATCAACATAAAACCATCTGGGCTATAAGGACGTAATTATCAAAAATACCATTCAAACGAAACATTTTTATTTGAAACTCTGTAAACGGTATTTCTAAAGAACACAAGAACAACGCCTTGTTCACAGCGAGAACGTGTTTAATTATTTCCTTATTGATACACATCGCCATAGGAGAAGTCGTTTCTCGCACAGTGTATGATTTATACCTTCACCACTATAGAGCGAAAATTAAACATAAATTGAATAATACTGGGCGAGTTTATTCCTCCCAAACCGACTCGGTCATGTGACAGTCCTGGACTATTATCCGAGACAATGAATGCTTGCAGTCCTAAACGCAATAAATACCCATACGTCCGAGCTGGGAGGTGTGCGGCAAAAGGCACTTGAGGAGTGAAAGACAACGTCCCCAAACAAACAATCTGTTCCACTGTCAAAGGAAAGCAGGACAATGGTAAATCAAGGTACAACTGAACACCGTGCTGAATCGAGTCAAAGATCAGATTGTTTGCAGTAGGGTAGACACAAGGGCACAAGACGGATAACTATGTCAAGTGACGTGCAAGGGACGGGTAGCACCACTCTGAGGTCATATGGTGTCCTCAATGCACCCTGATTCAGCATATTGTGACTAAAAGCTCTGCAAATAGGCTCTTGACAACTACAATAGACTCAGGTGATCTGAACCGACAGCATTTACATGATCCCATTGTGTGCCGGTACAGGTGTAACGCTGGATGCTAGTATCTTGGGGTTCAAAGATCAACGTGGCAAAGAAATAAATGGGGGTATTTTTTATCCAAACATTTCACCATATGCTGCCACTTTTTGAAAAAGAAATATTGACATGAACTGACAACTGTTCCTGAAGCTGAAATCCTGAACTAATATGAACTGATATCATAGTTATTTAATTCTTCATATCCATTTAACCTTAGTAACATGACTGTGCCCCTTATGAGTGAGTGGGTGGGTGAGTGGGAGTGAGTGAGTGAGTGAGTGAGTGAGTGGAGTGAGTGAGTGAGTGAGTGAGTGAGTGAGAGGAGTGAGTGAGTGAGTGAGTGAGTGAGTGGGTGGGTGGGTGGGTGAGTGAGTGAGTGAGTGAGTGAGTGAGTGAGCCTATAGGTAGGTGCCCCTTTAGAGGGTGGGTGGGTGAGTGAGTGAGCCTATGGGTAGGTGCCCCTTTAGTGAGTGGGTGGGTGTGTGAGTGAGCCTATGGATAGGTGCCCCTTTAGTGAGTGGGTGGGTGGAGTGAGTGAGCCTATGGATAGGTGCCCCTTAGAGGGGTGGTTGGGAGTGAGTGAGTGAGCCTATGGATAGGTGCCCTTTAGAGGGTGGGTGGGTGAAGTGAGCCTATGGGTAGGTGCCCTTTAGTGGGTGGGTGAGTGAGTGAGCCTATGGGTAGGTGCCCCTTTAGTGGGTGGGTGGGTGAGTGAGCCTATGGGTAGGGTGCCCTTTAGTGGGTGGGTGGGTGAGTGAGCCTATGGGTAGGGTGCCCTTTGGTGGGTGGGTGAGTGAGTGAGCCTATGGGTAGAGTGCCCTTTAGTGGGTGGGTGGGTGAGTGAGCCTATGGGTAGGTGCCCCTTTAGTGGGTGGGTGAGTGAGTGAGCCTATGGGTAGGTGCCCCTTTAGTGGGTGGGTGAGTGAGTGAGCCTATGGGTAGGTGCCCCTTTAGTGGGTGGGTGAGTGAGTGAGCCTATGGGTAGAGTGCCCCAGAGGGTGGGTGAGTGAGTGAGCCTATGGGTGGGGTGCCCTTTGGTGGGTGGGTGGGTGAGTGTGCCTATGGGTGGGGTGCCCCTTTAGTGGGTGGGTGGGTGAGTGAGCCTATGGGCAGGTGCCCCTTTAGTGGGTGGGTGGGTGGGTGAGTGAGCCTATGGGGTAGGTGCCCCTTTAGTGGGTGGGTGGGTGGGTGAGTGAGCCTATGGGTAGAGTGCCCTTTAGTGGGTGGGTGGGTGAGAGTGAGCCTATGGGTAGGTGCCCTTTAGAGGTGGGTGAGTGAGTGAGCCTATGGGTAGGTGCTTGCTTAGAGGGTGGGTGGGTGAGAGTGAGCCTATGGGTAGGTGCCTTTTAGTGGGTGGGTGATTGAGTGAGCCTATGGGTAGAGGCCCCTTTGGTGGGTGGGTGGGTGAGTGAGCCTATGGGTAGGTGCCCCTTTAGTGGGTGGGTGGGTGAGTGAGCCTATGGGTAGGTGCCCTAGGGGTGGGTGGGTGAGTGAGCCTATGGGTGGGGTGCCTTTGGTGAGTGGGTGAGTGAGTGAGTGAGCCTATGGTGGGGTGCCCCTTTAGTGGGTGGGTGGGTGAGTGAGTGAGCCTATGGGTTGGTGCCCCTTTAGTGGGTGGGTGGGTGAGTGAGTGAGCCTATGGGTAGGTGCCCTTTAGAGAGGTGGGTGGGTGGAGTGAGCCTATGGGTAGGTGCCTTTAGTGGGTGGGTGGGTGAGTGAGCCTATGGGTAGGTGCCCCTTTGGTGGGTGGGTGGGTGAGTGAGCCTATGGGTGGGGTGCCCCTTTAGTGGGTGGGTGGGTGAGTGAGCCTATGGGTAGGTGCCCTTTGGTGGGTGGGTGGGTGAGTGAGCCTATGGTAGAGTGCCCTTTGAGTGGGTGGGTGGGTGGAGAGAGTGAGCCTATGGGTGGGTGCCCCTTTAGTGGGTGGGTGAGTGAGTGAGCCTATGGGTGGAGTGCCCCTTTAGTGGGTGGGTGGGTGAGTGAGCCTATGGGTAGGTGCCCTTTAGTGGGTGGGTGGGTGAGTGAGTGAGCCTATGGGTAGGTGCCCCTTTAGTGGGTGGGTGGGTGGGTGAGTGAGCCTATGGGTAGGTGCCCCTTTAGTGGGTGGGTGGGTGAGTGAGCCTATGGGTAGGTGCCCCTTTAGTGGGTGGGTGAGTGAGTGAGCCTATGGTGGAGGTGCCCCTTTGGTGGGTGGGTGGGTGAGTGAGTGAGCCTATGGGTA